TTTTAAAACATGTTGATCTAATTTTTCATTATTAATTTCATAAAACAAGATTTAGTAGAAAAGAAACAAATTCCACAATAAAAATATTCAAAAAAATAAAATTGAATTAAATAAAAAGTAGTAAAATTCAAATAATTAATATTATGTTATGAAAATACAGTTAAAAAATTATTTTATTAAATAAATATACTTATAACCAAATATAATCCAACAGTTATTAGTATGATTTTCATTTGGTATACAAATACAAATTACCAAAAATTGCGATTTAAAAAGACTAGAAAATTCATTCACATAAATGCTTGCAAATAATTTAAAGTAAAAGAAATATTTAATAATTTAAAAAAATAACTATGCACTTGTTTTGTTTGCACACATATAAAAAATAACATTAAGAATTATTCATCATAAAATAATTCATCATAGATTAATGCAAATCAAGCCAATGAATTACAGAATAATGGATATATAAATTTTAAGAAAAATGGAATTAAATTGATGATTTAAAACGACAGGAATTGTTGAAGTTTGATACTAAACGCTCTGTGTCTACTATGTTTATGTATATATGTTTGTCTTTTGTTTTATGTAAAACAAGTGATTGTTAATGTTTGTAATGAATGTGATTAGTTAAAAGAATATATAATCAGACAGTCTGTTTTTATCCTTCTGCATAAACGGTTGTATTATTATTCACATAAACTTTTAACATAAATTCTACAGGAATGGGGCATAAAATAGATTATTACTACTCTGAAAGACGTTTTTTTTTGTTAAATTAACTACCAAACTACAAGTGGCTATTATAATTGTTAAAGAAATATATATATATATATATATATATATATATATATATATATATATATATATATAAGCTAAAATTGTACAGTTTAAAACCTCAATAATAATCTAATATTTCAAAAATTAAAGTGCCTGATCTATTGGTAATTTGACAAAGGACCATTGATTGCGGAACATTTAAAAAATCAACAGATCTGAAAAAGTAGAGATTATATGTGAAGTCAATTTTCACATGAATTTGGGATTAATATATGAGTTTCAGGAATAGTTTTATCACTATATTAATTTTTAAAATTTGTAATCAAATATTTGTAAAAGATGATACTAAGGACAAATTTCTCCTATCAATCAAATTTTTAAAAGCAAATCTGTAAACATGTATTACCAATTAAAAATACTGTTAAAAATTTCATTGACATTAAACAATAAAGATGTAAAATACTTTAAGTAATAGCACTCAGACTGAAATTATTTAAACAATTCTATTCAAATTTTGAATTCTCTAAAAAAAATATCAGCAGTAAACAATGAAGTGTTAAAATGATTTCTGCAAAAAAATATATTTAAAAATTGAAAGCCATTTTATGTTTCCTAAATACAATGAAGAGTATTATTCGGTGACATTATGACAAAAAGTACTTATAGTACAAATTCTTTTAATATACGATATTTATTATCTTATATTAATTTTTTATATGCATTCTACAAAAATAAAACAAAAGCAATAAAATGTTTATCATTTTTTGAGTCAAAACAGACTCTCTCCGGAATGCAATATTCGATAAAAAATAACCAAAAAATACTGCTGACAGACCTTCATATGCAAATTAGATTATAAAAGCGATCAAATTTATCACATAATTCAAACTTCACATTGCAAAGTTATTCTTTATAATTAAAACGAAACTATACATACATTCATTTTAATAAACAAATATTAAACTTTGCAGTGCTCAATTTTGGTAACCTATTATATTTTGTAGTTCACGCATTGCAAATGTTAAAAATTCGACCTTGAAAATTGTTCGAAAATACTTAATTTTTAAATTCATGCTGTTCAACAAAGTAATAGATATAATATTATTAGGAGATAGATAATATTGAACGACATTTGAACTAAAGTTTGCAAATTAAAATACTCCATATATCGGAGATCCAAGACATATAAAAAAGTACGTATCACATTATTAAAGGTATCATATATTTAATCACTAGCAAGAATCTTCTGCAAGCCTTCGAATATTTCCTTAAATAATTAGTAAAATATAAAATTAATGTAGATAAAAAAAAACAAATAAATAGGAAACAGCATTTAAAAATATCACATATAGAAGATTATTGCTGATTTATCCTAAAATATATGTTTTAACACGTAGTTTTTTTGCGTTAATTACAAGAGAGTAATTTAAAAATATACGAATGAATTGTTATAAATCACTGCTGGAATGAATATTTAAATATTCCATGAAGTAATTGGTAAAATGTAAGAATATCTAACTAATTAGTATCAAACAATATCATATTTAAAATTTGTAAACCAACCCATCAAAGTGTTAGTCATATTTTATGAAATAAAGTAAGTAAGTATAGTAATTTTTCAGAAACAATTTGACAAAAGGCAAAAATTCTGAAGATACCACATTTAATTATTATAAGCAATTTTGTACTATACAACAAATGCAAGTATAGTATTATATTCATAAATTAATATCCCGTCAGAAAATTAGTAATATTACACTTGATAATTAAAACAATGATTTACTAATATCTCGTTACTAATTATGATACTCTATATTGCCCGCCAGAAATAGTTCACATTAAAATAAAAATTTCAATCAAATGATTAATATTCAGTAATTAAATAAACAAATATAAATTTTACAATCACAACCGAATGATACATTATTCCTGTACAATTTATTATCAAAATATTTGGTAATATATTGGTTACCTCATAGACGACTACATATAATGAACATAAGTCTTACTAAAATTTACTGATAAAAAAATTAAAATAAATTGCGACCACTGCAAAAATACCAGTATCGAATAAAAATCACTCGAATAGAAACATTCAAAACTGCACTCGTGAGATTTCTGAAAATCTCGAAATCACCAAACGATAACATTTTCAAAAGCTATAAATATCATACAAACAGATTATTTTTTAATTCTTTATCGGTATTTAAAATATGTTATAATTTTAATTGAGATGTAGTTAGATTAATTCAACAGGGTAAAATTTGGTTATACTATTCTATTATTATTGTCTATATTGTAATTTAATTAAAAAAACTGATTAACTTTTCAAACTTTTCCCTTCATAAAGACCGTAACTGTTTCAACTCATTTTTACAAAGTTTATTTAATTTTCTGTTCTTTATGAGACTAATAACATAAATTTAGATTCAAATATGTAGCGCTGTGATGAAAATTTAATAAAGCTCGCGAAGAACATTTTTAAAAAATATAGTAAAAACTATTTTGCAGACAAAGATGATTTATATAAATCTATTACACTCGGTCCTCGTTCTCATATTATTGTCCACATTTAAAGTATTAATTTTAAAACAAATGGAAACATTTCTCGGAAAAGTATGATTTTGAATAAAGACTACTTGTAATAATTGATCAAAATGTTAAAATGTTAAAAAATAGGGTCATGATAGAATAGAAGATCAAATTCATTATTGAAATTTATCGAAATGTATGAACAAATTTATAGATTTTTGTATTTTAATTGAAATGAAATATAAATTTAACTTAAATATTCAAAAATAAATAAATAATTATTTGAAGATATGAATATGATTGTGAAATTTATCAAAAAATACAGTATAACCAAAAAAATTAATAATAAAAAAAACACACGTTGTGGCTTTCGAAAATGGAAAACAATTACATAAATATACAAATGTACGGTGTTCCTGATACGAATAGAAACCTTGCTTTGACGAAAATTGATCACAACACAACAGAATTTTATAAAAACCTCATTTTATTAAAAAAAAATTCAAAATAATAAAAAAACGCAATGATTAGAGATATTGGTAGATTTTTAAAAGATTATTGCAACTGTACGAATTGTAAAATAATTATAAAATTATAATTTAGAATATTTATCTACAAAATAATCAAAATTTGATTTCAAATTATTTTGTAAAAAATATTAGTTGATGATCATGCGTTGTTTTGCATATTTATTTATTTTTTCTATCAACTTTATATAAGCAAATAAATAAAATATGTTCAAATGCAAAATATATAAAAAATGCTGAATAACTAAAAAAAAATTGAAAAATGGTAATGTAACTTTTGACAGATCAATTTTTTATAATAAATCAAGCTCAAATATTATAAAAGCTTTACATTAGTTCAAACGAGATTTGTAATACAGAGAAATTTTGTTAATGAAAAGTAATATTTTTGCAGAATTATGAAATTGTCGTATCATCCGTAAAGAGTATAAATTATCTAAAAAATTATAAATACGAGATTTAGAAATGCGAGCCAGAGTTTTGAAATTTTTTTTAGGAGAAATTTTAAAATCCATTTACGAAGATTGCAAGCGAAAATACATATTCGATTTGGAAAGAAATAATTATAATAGACATAACTTTGTAATCTCTAAATAAAATATCAAAACTTTAAGTAAGATAAAAGAAGTTGATGTCGGTTTACATTTGATTATTGTGTGTATTATGGTAGGGTTCACAAAGGTCCAATTTAACTTTCATATTATAAAATCAAACCAACTATAAATCACAACAAACAACACATGTCAAACGAACAATTATCCGACTATGTTCGGTAAAGCTTCCAGCTTTATCATCATTGTAGAAATGTGTTTTAGTACTGTTTTCGAAAATTTGGGACTTTCTTCTTTTTACTCCATAAGCTGGGTAAATTAGTATGGCCAGGGGGCAAACCGGAGGGCGGAAAAACAATTGCATTATTCAACTATAAATTTCATGGATACACTTTTTACAGAGATAACACTGTAAACCTTAATATGGTTTGTTATACACCTTTTTCCCTCTACTTTCAAATATTGTTGTTGAAAAATTCATAACTTCACATGTTTTTAAGATATCGTTCGAGGACTCTATCACATATCTCTTTTAATTAAATGAAATTTCAAAATCGCAAAAAATCAATGTTTCAATTCAATAATAAAATCAATTTGTTCTCAAACTTACACCATGGCTGTGGCAACAATTATAAGAAATAGCCCCAAGTACACCCTCCTGCAAGTATCGTGCTTTTTGTCGAATGGTTGCGATCTTGCCCCACAAGAACCAGCACAACGACAGCAGCAGAAACAAAACCTGTTGAAAAATCCCAAATTTTATTTGATTACGAAGAAACATTATAAAAACTAGATCTATTAAATTGAAAATTCTAAATATTTTTCTATATTATTCTTTGGTTAAATTATCATTATCATTAATTAACATTGATCAGCAATATTTTTTACAACGCCTTTGGTCTGCTCGTGTGTCTGCTCAAGAAGGCAATTGGCTATTTGGAATTTTAGTCTGTTATATGTTAGTCGATTTTTATTTTTTTTAAATATCGTTAAAGACATAAATTGTATATACTTTCAATATAATGTCAATTTGATTTAATCAAATAATATATTAAAATTTTTAATTCTAGAACCTAGTTATCAAATGGTATGAAAAAATGTCTTATGAAATAATGGTTGAAATATCTCGTATTTAAAAAAATATACCGAAAAGTTATTACCGCTATAAAGTATTTTTCCAGTTATTCTTATTCGAATGACCTAAAAGGTCTTTCAAAATAGTTGTCAAAAAAAGGTGCTTCCTAATACAGATATCGCAATATTGCAAGCCAGTCAACGTGATAATAAAGAATGCCATTATTATGACGAATCAATATCATACAAGAAGGCGATTCAAATATCAATTTGCTAATCTAATACATACACAAAATGCTAATTTACAAGATCTCGGAATTTATTCTTTAAATTTCGTATTTTTAGATTACTATACATTTAAAAGAAAGTGATAAAATAGACAACGTAATTTCATCAATTGCTTCATATTTTTAATTTGAAAAAAAAAAATAAAAAGAGAGAAAAAACTATGCTGTATTAGAAATACACTAGCGTTTTAAAAAAAGATTGCTTCTTATATTTCTTGTCTAGCGTCGGAAAAAAGTGTATAAAATTACATATATTTATATAGCACACTACCATTTCAGACACAAATAACAACAGTTACAATATCACCAAAAAAACAACAGAAAGACGCACAAAAACGTTTTGCAAACCGAATATAAAATATTACAAGACAAATAAAATAAGTAATAAAACTTAATAGCAAAATTTAATACAAAAAAAATAATAAAAAAGGTAACAAATAGGTTTTCTATATATATTTATTCAAAATATTTTTTTCATGTTTTTTTTCTCAATACTTACATTGCATCCAACGAAAACCGTATGGAAATATTACAATATCATGTAACCATAATTATAAATTCGATTTGCAAATTCATATACCATATAAAGCTAACTAAATACAACATAAACTAAGCAACATTTGTAAATTGCTATGTAAAATTTTCTTCATTTTCAAAGAAATAAATTCAGATTTTGATTAATTTATTTGTCAAAAAATAACTATTCAAATCAAAATTATGTATTTCAAAAATGTGAAAATATTTAAATGGTTTATAGCACTTTCAAGAAATATAAAAAGTTTAAACAAGTTCCGAAGTAAAATTTCAGAAAACACAATATTATAAATTGTTATAAATTTCAACGTTTTTATAAAATCTTTAAGATTTTTTGAATTTGTTCAATTAAAATTTGTTGCTTTCTGTTCCAATAATTCCAAATTATTGAAAAAAACTGAATTATAAATAATCTAATAAGAAAAATAATGTAGTAAAAACATTTGAAACTATATAAAATGTTTTTATAATAAAAAATATCGTAAAATATAAATCACATAAGTGCAAAATTATATGAACACGTACTTATAATATGTAATGCAAAATCGATATAAAAATAGAGTATATCATTGGGCTTCTTAAAAGACACAAGTAAAAAAAGTCAAGTGCGAAAAATAAACATATTTCAAAAGTAACAATTATAAATAAAGTTATAGCACAGCAACTTTAATCGTAGATTATGAATTCATCTGCAAGTTATTTCTTTTTCCAATGTTTTTTTTCAAACATTCTTTCTTATAAAATGATGAAGGTAATCAAGAATTAAAATAAAAGAACTAATTCTGAATATATTAGAATGACTACTTTTAAAACATATTTTTTATTAATTTAAAAATCATTTAAATTTGATGTAAAACGACACGACTTATCCCATATTACGAAATATATCATGCATTATTAACAATGCAAGGGAGGAAAATGTTTGTACCATTCATTAAAATTTTAAATAAAATATGCTTCGAGTTAATATGAGTTACGTATATATTCATTAAGTGTCAATTTAATTAGCACTAGACACAATATAATATTAGATGATTTTAATGAGAAATATTAAAAAGATCATTCAAATTGCCCTCTGTACTTTCTCTACGTTGTACAGATAAGTTTAATAAATTTTTAATAAGCTTTCAAATATACATGTAGATACAAGATAGTTATAGATAGTATTAACACGTAAAAGGGTAAAAAATATTGGATTAAATTTTGTGTACAAACCCGACAATCGGTGTGATGATAGCAAAAAGTAGCCCAATAACAATAATAGCTATCACAGCAGCATAGTGTTGAAGAATATTAGGCCAATCATCCAGGGCGTCATCTTTGACAACAATTTGGTGGTCCACAACGCGGATTAGGCCCTCTGGAAAAGCCTTTTCCCCGATAACGCTATTTAAAATGACGTGTGTGGCATTGTATAAAGGCCCCATACCTAAAAGAAAAAAAATTATTAATTGTAACTAATGCAGAAAGCTTCATTTCTTACTCATATCTGCCTATCCGTCAATTTTTCAGTAAATTACAAATACAAAATATATTAAGATAAAAGTATATACAAAAACAAAACCTGTCAAATGTTTTTTAATTGCATATTCAATCATGTACAGAATCTAATATATGACAAAATCTAGTTTATCAATAATTGTACTAAATTAAAGTAAATTTTACTTTATACATAAAAAGTAACAAAAGTTCAAAGAGTTTTTGAAAAAGCAGGTAGGTCGAAGTTTTGAGGGCTATGTATCGACTCATTACGTTATAATCAAATGTTAATGAACAATATAAAAAATATGGGCTAATAAAATTTAATAAAGTAAAGCTAAAATTTAGTAGTAATTTATGATGAGATCTTTTACTGTTTTTACCGTAATTCTCAACATGTCATAAATTACCCTCAATATATTAATATGTATCATTTAAAGCTTAGTAAAAATTATTATAAAATTTAAAGTTCTAAATAAAAATTCATTACGAAATTACTAAACAAAATAAAATATCCGATATACATCAACTTTCTCGATAATAAAAACATATTAATTTATAAAAAAATATATAATTACAATTCATATCTGATATTTATTATAACATCCAGCTCGTGGCGGCGAGTATAAATTCAAACATGTTCAAATAAAATTTTGCTATTCGGACTTTCCAATTCAAAATAAAATTTACATTCTTGTTTTGATGGACAAAATTAAATCTATAAATATATATACTTATAATTATGTCTAACATATTTCAAAATTAACACATATTACAAAAATTTTGGCATGTGTTTCAAAAAATGTTTTACGACTTCTTATCGCTTCAGTATCACTTATACTTGTTGGATAAAAAATAATCGATGAAGCATTCAATTTAGTTTGCATTTTATAGGAGTATCAATCAGAAGTAAATTTAAAAAAAACTGTTCCAATAACTTTTAATAAAAATTCTATACACTTTAAAATTATTTTGATTTTGTACTTTTTATACGTCATGTTCACTTGCCAAAGCTCTGCCAGAACATTACCCAGATATAAAAGAAAACTCATTCTACAATAATCTTCTATCAATATAAAATAGTGTCGCCTAATTATTGTCAATAGTCAACTGATTCTATATTATTAAAACCTGCATTCCAAAAGTCTTACATCAACAAAGTCTTGTTAGGATACTTGCAAAAATTATTGTTTAAAAAAGTTCACCAACATATGTCATAAGATAATTGATGCAGTATTTTGTTTTTTGTTGTTTTCATAAAAAATTGCCAAAATAATTGCAAAATACATCAAAGTCAACTGTCAACTATGTAATGAAAATGTTCGAAAGATACCTGTAGGCTATCAGAAAAGAAATAGAAAATAGATAGAAAACTTTAATATTAGTAAGTGCAATTAATTAATAATTGTTGCACATCAAAATTTATATATTTGAATAGATGACTGTATAATACGATATGTTTAAAAATACTTTCAAGTCAATAAGCCTTGAATGAATATGAATTTCAATGTTTTCATAAAATCTAACTTTAAATTTATCTAGAATATTACAATTCTAGAATTGTAGAATCAGCTTATTAGCCTAATAAAATAAAAGTAGAGCAATATTTTGTGTCTATAATATAAATAATAAATCAATGTAATACATATTTACCTATTTGTAAAAAATGGGTTGTATTTGTTAAAATTATAAAATATAATGTATAATAACTAATTTGTAAACACAAGGCCGAAAAAAATCTTAAATTCAAAAAAAATGTATTATTCTTTCTATGAGTTTAGGACAAAATCACAAAACCCATTATTATATTGTAAAAAAGCAAACTAAAGGAGACAATTTGGTTCATTTGGTGAAAATCTACTAATATTACAATGAAACTAATATTAGCTAATGGGGGGATGTTGCAGCAAATCAGATGTTGACTTCATCCAGCTCTTGCAATCATTAAGAATAAAATCCTACACCAGGCCCTCAACATTCCATTTATATTAGAAACGATTCTTATATCTTTCATTATTATTTTTTTAGTTTTGGTCTTTGTCTGTTAAAAAGTCAATTTTTGCAAGTTACTTGATTCAATTATTAGATCTAAAAACAAAACAATACTTGGTAAAAATAGTATAAAGACTATTTAAAAAATGATCTAAAGTAATCAAAGTGCCATTTATATTAGAAACGATTCTTATATCTTTCATTATTATTTTTTAGTTTTGGTCTTTGGATGTTAAAAAGTCAATTTTTACAAGTTACTTGATTCAATTAATCGATCTAAAAACAAAACAATATTTGGTAAAAATAATATAAAGATTATTAAAAAAAATCACTTATCGTAATCAAAGTTTCAGAAAGTTTCAGAAGGCGCAAAATAATAATCAATTTACGAATAAAATATAAATAATGGTACAAGTTTCATAGCATAATTCCATGCAGTTATTAATAATTTAACTTTTGCAATTAGAAAATAAAATGCATTTTGCAATACAGGGTACATGTATATATATATATATATATATATATATATATATATATAATCAATGAAGCATTTCAAAAAATTAAGTTATAAATAATATATATTTTGAAAACAAATATATTCTAAAAGTCAAATATTTCTATATTCAAATGAAATATTGCACTAATTTAAAAAAATAAATAAATTATTTCAAGTGATGAATCATTTTCGGATAATTGTAAAATATTGCATATCTAAATAATTTTATTGATTCCTGATAAAGTAAAATAATGAAAACAATCAATCGTTCAAACAATTTGAATTAAGTTTCTTGTGATTTTAACACTACATATGAGAGAAGAGCCTTTTATAAGAATCTTTTCTGAAAGATCTGTGACGGGGAGTTTGAGGATATTCACAGTGTTCTTGAAAAATGTTTATTTATTTATTATTTATTATTTCTATTCAAAATCTTGTTTAATTTTAAAACATAAAAATTACTGTAAAACGAGTAGCATTGTTCAAAAAATCTATTTTAAAAGCATGTTTTTGGTAAACTTATTGCAAGGTCTGTTTGATTACTAATGAAAAAGCCAATAAATCAACTCAACTTCAAAAAGAAATTTTTCTCATTCGGATTAAAACGTGGTTCGTGCTTATAATTTTATTATAAGTGTAATTACAAAACTAAAGTATCATTTTGAACTACGATCTAAAATTTCTTTTAAAAAAACATATCAGGATTATATTTTTACATAATATCAATTTAAGAGCAAACCGACATTTTATGGAATATAATTTTGATTAAAAAACAAAATCAGATTTATAGTATATATTTAGACTAATTAGTGTAAGAATAAAACACAAGTAGTGTATTAGTGAAGAATATTTAAAGTATTGATTGAATAAAATCAGGTTTGTAGTAGTATATATTTAGATTAATTAGCATAAGAATAAAAAACAAGTGTATTAGTGAAGTGAAATAAACAAACTACCAGTGAATATTTAAAGTATTGATGAATAATTCTGTACCTAAAATAAGAGTAATCCCCAAGATAAAAAAACGTGACAGAATAATGTAACTTAAAAAGTAATAGAAATAATATAAAAATAGTATTCCTACTGTTGTATTATGGCAAATGGTAAAAAAGTGGTAGATTATTTAATTTTAATCAACCTCATCTTATGCAAAATATAATGATTTAAAAGTCAAAATTTTAAAACATATTATTTTTTTACTATCACGGCGAGGGTAGTAGCTATAGAAATTTACAATGTAATAAAATTTATACATTAATCACCAAATATTTCGGGTGTAATTAAAACGATTGTTTCATAAATAGTACAACTGACTAATGCGAATTAATATCGTTCTGTATTTCTTATCAAACGGTACATCAAATTGTAATTCTTATTTAGAATAATAATATAAAAAAATACCCATTATGTTAATAGAATTGAGTATTAAATTTAGAAAAAAATGTAAATATTATTTAATTTCATCGACGGCATTTAAAAAAATTCTTCATAACATTGGTTGGCAAATACATTGAAAACATAATAAAAATATATTAATTAAATGATTTAAATTAAAAAAATAAAATTATTATTTAAAAAAATAATTATGAAATATCCAAGCATATTATATTATATATAATTGAATTCCTTTAACAAAACACACAATTATTTAACAATAATTCAGATGTGACAAAAGCAAGTCAAATAAATGTAAATGCTTGTATTGTAACCACTACTACTATTTTTAATTTTTAATATAACATATATGTTCAAAATCATTTCATAATTCATTATCAATAGAAATTTTATGAAGAAAATTATTACAACCTGAAATAGAAATTGAGAAAAACCTTATTACATTAGTCATTAGTCGTTTCATGGTAACACGTGGTGTTAACTAATAAAAAGTGTATAAAGTTTTTGCTAGAAACTCGAATAACTTTTAAAATGGAAAATAGTGATAAATAATGTATATATAAATAGTGAATAAAAACGATAAAGTTGACGATAAAGTGTGGTACCCAAGTCGAGGATAGTGAAGAAAATCGTTATTAAATCAGATGATACAGACAAAAAATAATTAACGGACGACGGTTTTGGCAAAATAATTATTAGTTAAATATGATTAAAAGTAAAAATTTCCGTCTTATTTAAATATTTTATGGAAAAAAATATTTAATGGGCAAAAGAGCTTTACCAGAAAACTAGTGGATTAAAAAGGAAACTCCACAGGCGAGATAAAAAAAAATTGAAAAGCAAATTGAGAAATCAATTTAAAATCATTTTGTTTGTAAACATTACCATTGAATTAAATATCTATTTTGGAAAAAATAATTGAAAATTTAACAATATACATTATCCGAAACACCACTCCCACACATATACAAATATGTATTATATTTACTAATTGATAATGTAGGATGATGGTAAGTGATAAAAATAATTTTAAGCAATTACTTAATCAATGAACAAAATTCTTAGAAGATACCATTTTCAAAAGAGTAAAAAATTTAATGTAGAAGCATTATATTGGCTAAAAATATGTTGGATGCGTTTTGTTAGAAAATGTACAAAAATTTTTATATGACATCAAAGAATGATATTGAAAATTTTAAAATTCTGAATTTATCACCACGTAGAGATAGACCCAAAAAGTACGAAAATATTTTATCGATACCTGTATAAAAATCAGACAAATTACAGCAAAATTCATGGACTTATTACGGTATACACCACCTGAACATCATGATTACTTCAAAACCTTTTTACATGCACAAAATGGGTTGAGAATTATTTTGTAATGCATTTATATTGTAATTTTGCACGTTATGTAAATAATTGAATCGCATAAATTATGTTCCTGATGTATTTCAAAATATTTAAACTAAGTTCAGCTTTGTTTTATCAATTAGAATCATCCTACTTATTAAAAAACGAATATTATTCACTTAATAATTGCCACTATTTTAATAGTAACTAGAAATTTAACTACTTAATTTAAATACAATTAAGTAGTACGACACGTTAACATCGTATACTTGAATTTTTAAATTTTCTTAAATATCTCCATTTTAAGATAAATGGAATTTCAAAATAAACGGCTAAATATACACAAATCGAACGAAATCCAAATCTATTGAGTTGTCCAAACCCAAATTAAATAAACAAAAAGCATGAGCGTGCTTTTTTTATATCAAATAACTACTCGATCTAATATAACGAATAAAAATTTTGATGTAAAATAATTTGCCCAAGAAAAAAATAATATACAACATATAAATTCGTGAATTCTATCTCATATTAGCTGCGTATTTCAAAAATTCGTAACTTCATAATATATTATATCTTCATAATAAATCATTAACTACCCGTATAATTATTAAATATACAGACAAGCCAAAATAATCGAAAAATATATGAAAAATATTAATATGTTTATGTAGTTTAAATTTTTAAAAATTTTAAAGATTTAAAAATTGTAAACATTTAAAAGTTGAATAGAAATGAATCAAATTTTCGAAGCAAAAAAATCAAACAGAAACTAATAAGCGTTTATATGCTTTTGTAATTTAATTAATTATATAAAGCAGGCAATAAAGCATAAAATATTATATTACATAGTACCTGGAAACAAACAAACCGATGTTAAATTAAATTTACCTCCTTCAATATTTGATACAATACCAAAGCGATATTTCTTACTTTCGATAATGTGAAATAAAATAAAGTACATTAATGTATGAATAGATGATAAAAACCAACATGCAAAAATTATATATTTTTTTAAAATGAACAGAAAGAAACAGCAATCTTAAAATATATAAATTAAAAAAAAATATTGTTGGATAAAGTTATTATATTTTAAAATTGAACAATTTTGTTTATAACTCTTCCATGCAAATAAACCATTATTTGATGCAATTAACGATTTGTAAATGAATTTTTCATCTTCAATTCAAATTTGAAACTATACACAGATCCAGCCAAAGTGAAAAGTTATAGGTTAATTTCATTTAAATTTGTAAAACGTTGCTTCCTACTATTTGTCTAATTATTAGACAAATGATGTTGAAAGTAAAAAAGATATAATAGAAATGGTTTTAAAAAGGTAAAACAAATTTAACTGTGCTAAAAATAGAAAAATCGCGGTCGACTCCCCTTAATGCTTACTTACAAAGTAAATGTAAATTTCGAGAAATTCTTGCTCTTATGTCATTTTATTAGCTGCAATAATTTACTATTACTGTTGTCAATTCTATAAATGCAAACTAAATTACATAAACTAAATAACAAAAACTAGGTAACGATTTGAAGCATTTTAGAAAATTCAATGTTATAGGTTGAGTTAAAATATCATTTTCCAAGCCTCATCAAGTAGAAAATAGTTTTGTAACTTCATGATAAAAGTAATAAATTAAAATCAAATCTACCTACCACGTGGTTCAAAAACAATTTTTTGACTTTCATATTGTGGTCGTTGAAAAGATTTAGCATTTTTCCAAATTGTATATTCCTTCATCCTACTGCGGTCTAAAGCCCGCCTTAGGGAATCTTTGGCCTCCTGAATGGCAGCATATTGTGAATTAGCCCCATTTGCGGCAAGTGCCACCAAAAAGGCAATCAAACCAAATAACAGTTTTAAATGCATTATGGTCACAAACTAAAACTACTTTATTTCATACATCCGCATGAGGCGGTCACAGATAATTTGAACACTAAATTCACTAAATTAACTAAGTTTACAAAACCGGTTTTTAAGTTTTCATTTAAGATATTTTCTAGGATCAGCCTAGGTCAACTATCCTTTCAAACTTCCTAGGATGCTCCTGAAACAAAAAAAGCAATTTGTTAATAAATGGTTCTGACATTTGAAAGTCAAAATTAAACAATATTTATATTAAATAAAAAGGAAAGAAGAAAAATGCTCGCAACTAAATGAAAATATTTTTACAATATCTAAAAGATTTTTAATACACTACTAAAATATTAAAATTAAAAAAAAATATTTTTATTCACAAAATATCAGCGCTTAAGACGAATGCTAATATAAATGAATCAATTTTATAAATAAATTGATTTTATAGATTACTCTAATGTTACACAAATTAGACAAATATCCTTATATATTTTGATACCATATAAATTGTATTTATTGCAATAATCAAGTTCTAATTCAAATCGTATAAGAAACTTGCAAATTAGTTATTTTTGTTTATAAATTTGATAATTATGATTATTTGAAAAATCATTATTATTGTTACTTAATACTTAATCATTAAGTTATGAAACAAATTAAACCGATGTAAACCTATCAATTTAATGAGCTCCTATTTTTTGGTAGTCCTTTCAAACATGTTTGACTACTATCTGTTTCTATTTATATAAAATTATACATATGTAATAATAATTATATATATATATATATATATATATATATATATTCTTGCAAAATTCATCTATATTAATTGACAGATAAAAAAATAGTTGAAAATTTCGAAAATAATAGTTCATATATTAAATTTTGTTACCCAAATTTAGAAACAACTATACATTTTTTCTACAAGTTAATAAACGAATCAGATAAAGAAAATACTTTTAATTCGAATGTGCAATTCAATTTTTTTAAGAAATATGTTTTGAAATTATTACTTCTTTAAATTACTGTGATTTTGTATTTTTAAAAGCCAATTCAATGAATGTAAAAATATAGACATTTGCTTATATATACTAAAATAAGTATAATTTTTTTTTAAATAAACAATTTAAATAACCTGAAAATGATTGTACTATACTTGAGCATAAGAGAAACTCTGAATATTGATAGAGCATTATTATAAGATCAAGATTATCAATATAATCTCATTACTATTCAAACAAATTTTTCAAGCCACAATTTTTAGTTTTCCTATTTTTTTTTCACCAAAAATCTATAAAAATAATAAAATATATAGCAAAAAAAGTGAGGTTTACCGAGTTGCAAAATTACAAGTATAATACAAAAAAATAAGTTGTACCCAAAAAATATAATAAGAAATCGCGCTCTTCAAAAGAAATGTTTGTGGTCAGATTTTAACACTGTACATCAAATCACTGTATGAAAATTTGCAAAACTAATTCAGAATTTCGTAACTATTCAAAAAAAATATATTTAAGGCTCTATTTTCAATTTTAGATCAAGCAAAACAAAAAAATCAACAAATATACGAAACTATAGTTCAGAAATGGTATAAAATATTCTCTCAAATTATTGTTTAATGAGTATTGCGAATAAGTGAATTGTCCGTATAATTTTAGCACGAGTAATACAAAAACTGTGGTCAAAAAAACTACAGTATTGACTAATCTTTTTTGGTTCAAAATACAACCCACACTATATAAAGACCATATATCCCTAAGTAAAAAATATTTAACTAAAATTTGTAAAAACTAATCTTTTATAAAAGCATTTTAAAACAATTTAGTTTTATTGATACATACAGATCAATTAATCTTTATATATCTAAATTAATAGCCAAAGTGAACATTAGCAATAAAGTATCAAGTAAGTGGTGCAGAAATTAAATAGATCAAAAGTTATTGATTGATTATTTCATAATGAAATATAATTATTATATTAAATTATAAATGTATTTCAAATAGAAAAAATGCGAACTTGCATTCTTAACGAAAATATTGTATTTTTGGGAATAAACAAAGAGTTATACTTTCGCGAAAATTCAAATTGTTCATCAAATACAAATATTAGAAGAAGTAAAACACTTTTCTAAACTTCCTAAACTTGGAACATTATAAGTAAACAAAATTAGTTTGTTAGTAACTACTATTTAGGTACAAAGCTATGAAAAAACTCTACAATGCAAGATAATTACAAAAACACGAAAATTTGTTTTTAAAATGAGCATTAATACATTTATTATCTTGACAAATATTAAAATTATCGATATAGTTAAACTATTGAAAATCTATAAAAATATTGTTTTACATAACATTTGTTAAAATTATTTATATAGTAATATTTTATATAGTAATTTATTTAAATTTAAAATAATAATATAAGGAAAATAATAAGAATGATCAAAAATAGGAAATGCTGCAGAATATGCATTCTAATATTCTACAGAATATGATTTGATGACATAATTTTGAATTTGGCTGATTTTGATTTCATTTTAACAATTAGATAACAAAATAAGCACTAGATTATTAATAATAAGTACTATTTTGAAAAAAAATTAATTACTAGACAATTACTTTTTACACATTTATAAAAGCAAATAAAACCTGTCTTACAGAATCTCGAACAACATTTTTTACTATGTATGTAATTAAAATAATTCAATTATTTTAATACAACAGTAATGTATTGTTACTTTGCAGAATATTATTCAAAGTGAAAGAAATATATTATTCATCACTGCATCATGATTCTAAATCTCAGCCGAAACGTATGATATTAAATAATAAATTTAAATAGCAAAATTTTTATTATTTTTGTTAAGTTATTAAACCAAATTCAACAATTATACAAAACATATATAACGATAGTAAATCTTCACAACTAAAGATAAAATGCTGCAAAAAATGTCTACTTAAATTCATGATATATAAAAATATTTATTCAAAAGTTTTAACGGACGAAAATAGTAGGCAATTCTTGAAAGATTAAAAAATCAGATCTCTACCATCACTAAATGAACAACTATATATTACAAGCTATCAAAAATCATATCGTTGAAAACTTAATACACATTTTACATAATAATCGATAGAGCACATGAAAAACTCAAAAAAATATGTTCAAATGTATTCATATTACATATTAAATTTCATTTTTTGAATTGAATGAAATTATGTATGAAATTACATACATACATACACACATATATATATATATATATATATATATGCATATGTATATATATATATATATATATATATATATATATATCGTTGTTTAGACTGTTTTAAGCACATTTAGAACGTAATATCGTATTGTATGACCGTGTATATAGTTATGAGGTATTTCCCATTCTATTTTATTACACCAGTCTATGTCAAATGTTGCTCAAACTAAAGCAACGTATCCATGATATTTGAACAAGCAAAAATCATTTTGATGTCATAACTTGCAAATGCTATAAAGTTCTTTCAAAACCCTAATGGTTAATTATAATATTGAATTAATCCTAATGAAAGTTGAAAATGCATAGCCATATGAAAAAAGAAATAGGTTGATATATTTGAGCAATGATAGTTGTTGAACAATTATTTCATGACAGAAAATGTTACAAATTATATAAATATTAAGATAAAAAATTATATAAAATATTAAGATAAAAAATAGTAATTTATTAAACTAAAATATCGTTAAAATTCTATCAAAAATTCTAATTGTTATATAATATTGAATGAATCAAAATAAAAGGTTCAAAAAACTGGATATATTTACATTCAGATAGTTGATGAACGATCGTCTCATGAAAGAAAACGTTACTAATTATATAAATATTAATTATAAAAGATATATATATATATATATATATATATATATATACATTCAGATATATACATTCAGATAGTTGAACGATCGTCTCATGAAAGAAAACGTTACTAATTATATAAATATTAATTATAAAAGATATATATATATATATATATATATATATGTATATATATATGCAATATTTAGCTTTTTATTAAAAATATAAAGTAAATTATTCACCAACGGGTAAATCGCGCAAATGTAGCGGCCGCGCAGTGTACTAATTCCTCGCGGCCGGTTTTTCAAAATTTTAATTCATTATATAATTAGAAAACATAAAATACATATTAATTTATTATATTAAACTTGAATATCGTTAATTATTATAACTTTATTACAGTAGCAAAATATTTTAATAACTAGAAAAATGCATTTTGGAAAACACAACGCGTTACAATTGCATTTCAATATATTAATATTGATTCAAAAACGTTCTCGGTAGAGATCTCTATTTCATTGCAAAAGTTGTAAATTGTTTAATAAAATACAAATTTAAATAAGTGTCAAATAGTTTAAAAATCTATAAAATATATAAAATAAACCTGATATTGTTATACTCCGATAAATAAGTTTAGTCACAGATGAGAAAATTGCACTGTTATTTTACAACTCAAGGAGAACCTCAGGTTTACTCATCTGCGATTTTGATGAATGTCAAAGTAGTAGATAGTCAAATCGAACCTCTTAAAATATTATAGGCCTATGAGAAGCGGTTTAATTATAAAAATTAATTATAAAAATTAATGCGAGATTTACCCGTTCGTGAATAATTTACTTTAGGGGGCGTCCATTAATCACGTGAGGTTTTTAGTGGAAAAGGGGGTTTGAAAAAAAAAATCACAATATCACGTGGGGGAGGGTGGGGCATAGTGAGATATCACGTGTATTTATTTTTTAACTGATTTCTTTAAAAAAAATCAAACATGTTCAAAAAAAAAAAATCAAAAATCGTGATTAATGGACGCCCCCCTAATATTTTTTTAAATCTATTTTTATGTTTGTATAAGCCAAATATTGAAATAAATATTCATAATTATTTTGAATTGCATATATGTCAGAGACAAAAATTGACATCGACTGTGTCGCCATGAGAAGGTATCACAATATAGCAAAATGAAAAAAACTTAGCATATTAAAAAAGATAATAAAACTTTAACAAAATTATCTGCCACATATTAGCTGTGTCAAGCTTCCAATTTAGGTCTAATCAGACACGATGAAAGAAAAATGGCCCAAGTGCAACGTAGTGGCCCCATGCAAAAAGACGATTTGTCCCATACTACG